ATACCTGAGAGGCCTGGGTGGTCGATACTCCGACTGCAAGTCTGTAATATATTTTGGTGCTAAAAAATTCTGTTATTCATAGACTAACAGAAGAATTTGAAAGTCTATTCTCTAAAATAAAAGGTGTCAGTTTAAAGACTTTAAAACTGGGATTATGTGCTCCACGTCCTTAGTTTTAGTAAGACAATAGCATTCTGGATCAACTGCAACCGTCTGATCAACTTATTAAGCAGACCTGTGAAAATGCTGTCATGCATATCTACATTTTTATGTGTACTTACCTGGATACCATACAATCCAAGTAGTTTCATGGCTGGACCTTTAATCTCATTGACGTAGCTACCTGTGTTTTCTCTGAGGTAGCGTGCCACAACATTTACCAAGTCCCCAAGCATTAATGGGATTTGAATGTTCAGGATAGCGGCACCAAAAGCAAGCTGAAAAGAAATTATATGGAGATTTACTGCAGGAAATGTCCAAGTTTGCATGTTTGTTACCAGTTTAAATTGAACCCCTTGAAGCTTACCACAACAGCACAGACAAGAGCAAAAAGCTGAGGTCTGACAAATTTCCAAAGGATGTGCCATTTGAACTCAGGCACTGGGTCTTTGGTGATAACTTCCCCTGGAGTGTTGTTATTGTAATCTGCCTCACAGCGAGCTACACTGCAGAACAGGCGGGCTGAGACGCTAAAGACTGCAGGTCCTAGGATGAATTTCAAACCTGCCGATTTGGATGTCCGAGAGGGGGAGTGGCGGATGGCTCTCTGAGTCAGGCTCCAAATTCGTTGCAAAGCATTGCCAGGCGGCGGGTTGGAGCTGTGGGCATGGGAATTACGAGGTATATACCACCTGAACAAAAGACATTTTTAACAGAGTTAGACAGTAAATTTACCAGCACAAATGGAAGACATAAAGGCTTTGTTGGTAGATTTTCTGTTCTACATATTTATGACTGATCATAATCGGAGGAAATAACATTGAATATTCTGCCAATTTAACATGAGTTTTATCGTGTTTCAGTTATATATATTAAAGGAGTCAAATAGAATTTATGTTCCCAAAAGTTAAAATATTTATGTTAGTTCATCTTTGGAAATCTTGGGTCTATGAAAAACATAAATGGTGGAATTATCAATAAGCTCATTTTAAAATGGCCTGGTCCTGGACACCATAAGACTTTTCTGAAGAATCTCTATCAAATTTACATTTAAATGTGGGGTACATGTTCAAAGAACTTGAAAGAAAAGAGATGAAAAATAACTTAAATGAATCTGATTTTTTTGTATATAATTTAAATATATTTTTTTTACCAAAGCAATAAATATTGAGGGGTAATTTGCAAGAGAAAAATACAAAAAACATGTAAAACACATGGCTGATATATTAATTAGCATATAAACATAGATATTTCATGAATGCACTGTAATAGACATACATAGATGAATGATGTTTAAAATACCACAGCTTTAGCTTTAGGATGTCATATCTGATATGCAGAGGCGGTAATAACGCCTTCTATTTACATGAGTAACTTTTAGAATATAATTTACCTTTAAAAGATTTACTTTTACTTAAGTTCTATTCTTGTGGGAGTATCTTTACTCTTTCTTGAGTAAAATATGATATAATAATGGTTACTATATTCACTTGAGCTATTCGAAATCGGGCATAAAATTCATTGAACAGTAGATATTTTATCTTGAAGTTTTGTGTCCTTGACATTGATTTTATATTTAGAAAATGTGCAAGTTTTGTCTAAATTTGTTATTTTTAAAGACCTTATAAAAGAACAGGATTTTGCACATAACTGGCTGACTGATAATATAATTTGAAACCCTTAATTAGATTTTATGAGCCAACAATTACCCAGAGGCGTAGCCAGAACATTTTTATATGGGTGGCCAGGCAATAACCAATGTACGTTGAAGGGTGGCCGAAAGTGGAAAGGCGCAAGAACCTCAGGGTTAAGCTATACTGTTCCAACAGGAAAATTAATGAGCAAAACATCCATGTTTTCTAAATGAAGACTAACTATCCTTTCCTTCAGCCTTTGCTAAAAAATAGATGCATATATAGTGGATACAATTCTTTCAGGTTTAAGTTCTTGGGCAAACATCCATTGTCATTACTTATTTTTATCAATAATCATTCTGCAAAAAAAAAAAAAAGATATTTACAAGTAAAAATATCTACATAAATTAAAAGTTATTTATCTATGATTTCACTGAAGACTGCTAGATGACTTGCAGAGATAAATAATGTTCTCTTTACCCCATAAAACACGAAATCTAGTTCTGAATTATGTACTTATCTTTAGTATCAGCATATTTATATGCATAATTAACTACAGTGTCTTTGTTGTCAAGCAAATGTTAATATATGAAAAATTAAAATAGTTTGAATATTCCACTTGAGAGTACAACTGTTGCTACTGTCTGTATTAGAGGGAAGAAGTGTTAGTGGTGGCCACAGACTGGCTAAGGGTGGCCATGGCCACCCCTGACCCCCCATCTAGCTCCGCCCCTGCTAATTAACCAGTACTAAACTACACATTTCACCAAGTACTTATTAACCACTTAGTAACTTATTGGATGACTACTTTTAACTTTTACGTGAGTAAAACAAAAGTAGCGTTACTTTTACTTTGTTACATGTTAGGATACTCTGCTCAGCCCTGCAGATAAGTCCCAAATGTCATGGACTGATACTTTGGCCCCTTGGCTTATGAAGGACAAATCATATCAAATATGCCGAGATAGCTGGGTAATAATTAATGACTAATTTTTATGGACTCAGAATAGAAGGTTTCACATAAATCAACCTGATTTGACCAGTGTTAACACTTCAAGTGTAATCAACAAATGCTAACCTAAACCAAATCTGACATTAGCTAATCTAGCAACCGGGCATTTCAACCCACCGTGAGAGCTTCCACTTGTCTCCTGTCTTCCTACAGAGTGAGTAAAAAGACAGTGGACGTGAATGAGAAGTGACGCACAGTCTGGAGCAAAGCAGCTGAGACATGTTTTCTACGCCTTTCGCCAATAAATAGCTGAAAAAATGTTAACAAAGGGGAAAAGCTCAAAATTAATCCCACGGCTCCCTGCAGGCTGCCATACTGACGCAGAGAAGTCGCGCGTGTCCGGGTGGTACGTGAACGTCAGCGCCATGTAGTGAGTGGCATTGCAAAGAACTGACATCAAAGCTATGGAGGACCAACTGTGTCATATCTAAAAATAAATACAGAAATAAAAAGAAAATTCTCAAGAAATAAATAAGCATACAATTGTTTGCCCCAATATACAAGAAACAAATACATGTAGGTAGAAATTAAATTATACAGTGAGACATAAATGTATATATATATATATATATATATATATATATATATATAT